CATACTCTACTTACTGTCCCTAGGCGTTGAACATATATCAGCACATTTACACTTGGCCCCAATTTTTCTGAGCTTTCTACAGACAGGTCATAAGTGAGGTCAAAACCCTAGCCTGGCAAATTAAATGTAAGACATGCTCCAGTGTTCATAGACAAAGTGATATGTGTAACAGACAGAGACCATCTGCAGCAGACACACTTTTACACACTGGAGAGCCTGGCTTGCTGTTTGAGCGAACCCTCAAAGCACAGTAGAAAGAGCTCTTTGTGTGTTATTGCCTTTGCAGGTTATTCAGGAGAAGGCCTTTAACTCCAGAACCAGTCTCAGTTGTGTGCTTAAAATGTGTCTGTGCGGTTTCACAGGACTTCCTCAAACCACATTTACAAGCGAAAACAGGTTACGGTAAACATCAGAAGCGTTTAGCCGAACAAAACGTCAAAGGATCACCGCATGAAAAACTCCTCTCAACGAACGATCCGCACATGAAAAACAACAGAAACCTCACATTTCAGATGTTCGTGTGATTTGTATTTGTTTTGTTTGGGACAAAAGACGAGGTAATCCTGTCTCATATTTGACGAGTCTCATATTCACACACACCTGCTGGGACAAAGTAAACACACCTTCAGAGGCAGACACCTTAATGGATGACCTTCACATTAAAACCTAAGTCTGGATAAACCCTAAACCAGGCATGTTGACATGATATGGTACAGAGACATGCCCATTCCGGATATGAGTGATGAGAAAAATCCACATCACAGTGAAACCGTGCAGAGTCTGTACATAGGTCAACACAAATTAAAAGGATGGTAAACTGCACTTTCTCTGTCTTTAAGCTGTAAATATTTGAAAAAACAATTGTTGGCCCCATCTCTGAAATTAAAAGATTTGACGTCTACTCACGCTCCATCACGCTCTGTAGCACAGGTGTCGTGTGTTTTGACTCATAGCCATCAACAGAGATTTCCCGTCTCGGATCAAAGCACATAAATGAATAACACAGTCTGGGACTGAAAAAAAAAACACAGAATATTAAATATAATTTTCTAAAAATGACAGACAGGATTCTCACTTATTTTATGTACCCCTCCCCATGGGCACCTGAAAGTCTATGGGTAATAGGGTTTCATTCAGTCTAATTTGCCCTTCACTGACATACACACGTAAGTTGCTGTTGGGTGGATGCAGTTTCTTGAGTGGCGGCTGCTTGCTTTTGAAGCATTTCCCACTCAGCATTCCTTGTGGTTGTGTAAGGCATGGTGATCCAACCACAGCTATCATTAATAAGACATGTGCATCATGGAACAAGTCTGTTGGTGCTCGGGCAAATGCTGAAAATTAGGGATATAGTTAAAAGAGGAGAGGCATTAAAGTGGTCAAAAATGATTTTGTCAAGTGGGTGCTGTCAGTGAGTGAGTACGGGAGTGGGTGAGGGGGTGAGGGGGTGAGAGTACTGAGTGGGGATTGAGAGGATGGACCATGCAGTGTGGAGAGAGATGGCTCTGTGGGTCAACCAAAAAGCCCTGACCCCAGGAGGATTTGATGCCATTTTCCCACGCAGGGAGTGGACCTGAGAGAGCTCGTTAACAACATCTGCCCCAGTTCAGGGAGATTAACCCCCACCCTCAACCCCCCACACCTCTACACACCGATGCGCTGTCAATCTGAGCACCTCATACAAGTCCCACCGCTATGGACAAGCTTACTGGAGATGGACAGGCCACTCCAGGCCCCTCCAGGCTGCGCTCAGAGGGGCCTCATGGAGATGGCAGTGAATCAATACAGTCTGACTGTGACCTGGGTGCAATCCTTAACTGCACTCATCCAGTCAAATATGTAGTGTGTGTGTGTGTGTGTGTGTGTGTGCGGTGCACAGGAGGTTCCAGATTTTAGCTTGAGATTAGACGGAGAGTTGAGAGTTTTAAAGGTGTGTTCCTGCTGCAAGTTGCCCAGCCAGTCAGGCAGGCGGGCTAGTGATGTCATCAACGTCAATCTGTCAGCCAGATTTGTGTAATGAGTTTTCCACTTAGCATCATACTGACGTCAAAAGAGACACTCAAAACACACTGCTGCTGCCTTTTACCACCTCGTTCACATATATTCCCAAAACATGCAACTGGCAGGGCATGTTCTGACATAATATGGGGGCAGACAGAGAGAGGGAGAAAGAGGGAGACAGAGAGAAAACAGGATTGACTGAAACATGGCCCATGGCGGTGCTCTTGTTAAGCAGGGGCTTTGCATGCACTGCACACGTACATAGGTACACACACAGATGCACAGTGGCAGAATCTGCTGGGAATCCGCTGAATCTGTGTTCCTACAAGGCTATAATTAGGTTCGTTTTTTGGAGAGGAGGTTAAACAAACAGGGGCTGTGAGGTCATAGGCAGATGGAAGTGGGATATGCCTGCACTTGCTGAGTGGGCACACATCTCCACATGACAGCAGAGAGAGAGAGAGAGAGAGAGAGAGAGAGTGCTCCGGGCGCTCAGATAGGGGGAGAGCAAAAGGGGGAATTAGGGGTAAGGATGGTAGAGAGCCAAACTCTGATGGTCTCACTGCCAAATCATTCAAACTCAATCAATAGCTGTACACGGCCCAGCCACACACCTCCCCACAAACACAGATTGTTCTCTCCTAAATCATAGAGGTATGACACGTCGGAGCTACTTTCCCAGCCATCACAGAGACCTGAGCTTCACCTCAACAAAACCCTAGGAAATATTTCACCCTGCTGACATGTCCAAACTTTTTTTTTTTAACGTCACGTTTCATTCGTCTTCCAAATAAAATCTCAGCATTTCAAGTTGAACGTTTACCCCGCATCCTGAGAGTCAAAGAGTCAAGCAGGCGAAAAGGCCTTCTGGGGTAAAACTGAATTATGGCGTAAACATTTGACAAGAAAAAGCGAAAAAAAGTTTTTCAGATGCACACCTCTAAAGTTCCTTAATTAGAAAAAAATTACTTGAAGAGTGTGGTTAGGTGACGGGTGGCTGCTGGCACGCTAGAGTGACTTAAGACCCTGTCAGTGAATGCAGGGAGGTCTAGATAATCTTTCCCTCCACAAAGGTGCGTAAGGGCTAATCCTGACCACTGTGCTGAGCTGTGGATCAAATCCTGAAGGGAGTGTGGGAAGGCCACTGCTTCTGCCCTCTTGGTGGCCAGAGCTTATTTATCCCAAGGTACACTGCAGCAGCAGGGCAGCCCTTTCTTACACACACATACACACACACACACTCACACCTTTGCATTATTTCAATGACAGCAACCGTGGGGTGTGTGGAAACACTAGTAAAGTTTATGAAAGCCAGGCAATGTCTGTAATTTAAAAAAAAAAGTGAAGAGATTTCCTGCTTGAGTTATTACAGAATTTGATCTCAGATGATCAGATTACCTCACAGCAGAGAAAAGTGTCAAAACCAGAGTGTGCTGAAGTTTAAGAAACTGAAATCACGGAGGCACAAATACCAAAGGACCGGGTTTTTATTATAATTGCAAATAATAATCATTACGACATTAATATATTAACAGTTTGTTTGAATGTGGATAAATATAATTTCCAAATTATATTGACAGACTGACATTAAAATAATATTAGGATAAATGTGAACTTTAAAAAAAGTTCAAGTGATTTTACTAATCTAAATACACTAATTAAAATAAAAAATATTTAGTAACAACACTCGTTTTAGTAAACTAAATGACACTTTGAGTTAACTTTAATTTTATCTTTCAAATATACTTAATATTTATTTTAGGTATAGTTGAAGAAATCGTAAAACTATTGAAAAACTGAAACGGAAGAAAACCTTTGATTTGAAAGAAAATGTATGTGTTTTCACGTGTACAGTAGAAATGGCAGCGTTTACATGTGAACGTAGTTTTTCGCAATAATTAATGTATTTGAATGACAAACGAAAACATGATTCAGATTTATTAGATTAGCCACGATTATTTTTTATTAACGTAACGTAAACATTTAAAAAATATTTTTAAATGTATTTTTACAAAATAGGCACACCTGAAATAAAAACCGATCGTAAGTTTTGTTTTTTTAAGTTCTCGACGTATAATGCTTTTTTTTCTTTTTTATCCATATTTTTATGGAAGTAAAGATTCTTCCTGCGATATTATTATTACACAGATGAAGTTTTGTTCGCTCGACACTCTGTACATAACATTAATTGATCTTTATAACTCTGCGTTAAATGTTAATAAATCAATAATTCGGTTTGTTCGTTGTTAAATCCTTGCGCAAAGATTATCGTCGCTCTCCATAAAAAATTCTTCTTTTTTTTTCCAACCAGAAATGACATGGAACAGGCGTTAAGTTTTGTACAAATTTATTCAGCATTTAAGAATAGAGGATGGTCTTAAAATATGTAGAAACGTCAGTTTAAATAAACTTTCTTTTTCGTTCAGGATAATGAGTAAACATGACACTGTCAAAAACCATCACAGAACAGAAACATTATTTTTTTTACAAAAAAATACATTTTTTACGTGACAAAAACATCGGGATCACAAGCTAAACAGAAAAGAAAAAACCTTACTATAAATAAAAACTTGCGTTTGCGCCCCGCACAGTCTTAACATTTCATTTTAACCTATAAAGTTCATGAAAAGGGCAGGAAAAACAGAAAGAAGAGTTTGAGAAAGAGACTACAAAAATCTGGGACACAGTGGAGACAACTGACATTCTACAAATGAAGTGTAAACATGTATGTAGTAACTGTTTTTTTTTTAATCCATCCATCCAGCTTTTCTGAAATACGCCAGCCTCTTCACGAGGCCACATGCCTTTTCATAGAGAGAAAATATGGCATTATTTTTTTTAAAATATAGAAGTCCAATTCTTCTACATAGGTTGATTGCTTATACATGTGATATAAAAACAAGCCTCTCTGCAACGCAATTTTACTTTGATGGACTCAACGTTCAATGCTCTCATCCATTTATAGAGTTTCTGAATGGACAACATCAGCAGACACTTAGTTTTTTTCTTTTCTTTTTCTTTAAACAAAACGTGTTTGAACGTTGTTTTTTTTTCTTTAGCAACCAAGAAAAAAAGTTCAAGTATCCGAAGTACTTTCTTTTTTATTATTAAGGTAAAAGTTTGCAGTCTTTCCTCTCAGATGTGGGTGAGAGGTAGAGTCCCGTTGACGCCAGTCCCTGCGCTCTGATAGTGCGGGTGGACGCTGTGTAACCGGCTGCTCTGCAGGGACGAATGCTCGGCGCTGTCTCCGCCGGGAGGCAGGTACATGCTGATCATGTCCCGCAGGTCCCCCAAACACGCCCGCTGAGAGTGGGACGTGATGGCCGGGGGCGGCGAGCTGGGCTCCGTCTTGCACACTGACGCCATGGACCCAAGCCCCATGGCGTTGGTGGTCTGCTGCGTGTAGGCCGGGGACATGCTGTAGGTGGAAGCCGCGTTCATGTAGGTCTGCGCCGAGGACATCATCGGGTACTGAAGTCCCGTCATCTCGTACCGGTGCATCTGCTGGATCTGGGGGCTGTTCATGCTGTGGTGCTGAGGGTAGGCCAGCTGATCCTGCATGAGCGAATAGGCACCGTTCGTCCAGCCGTTCATGTGCGCGTAACTGTCCATCCGCTGACCCACAGACACAGAGCTGTTGACGGCGCCGGCTCCCGGTGGCAACAGTCCCCCAGGCAAAGAATACTTGTCTTTCTTTAGCAAGGTCTTGGTCTTCCTGCGGGGACGGTATTTATAATCCGGATGCTCCTTCATGTGCATGGCGCGCAACCGCTTCGCCTCGTCGATGAACGGCCTCTTCTCGGCGTCGGTCAGAAGTTTCCAGTCTGCGCCGAGTCTCTTGCTGATCTCAGAGTTGTGCATTTTGGGGTTTTCTTGCGCCATCTTCCTTCGCTGACCCCTGGACCAGACCATGAAGGCGTTCATCGGCCGCTTCACCCGCTCCTGGTCGCTGGCACTGTTGTTTTTTGCGCCCGGCGCCGAGCCCGAGTTGGACTGCGGGAGCGGGGTCTTGAGCTCGGTTTCCATCATGTTATACATAGTTTCAGTGTTCACTCACAGGCACATTCGAAAAAAGAAGAGTTCACCAAACAGCGCCACGACTCACAGAGGTAGAGGTGCTGACCAGTCTCCTGAGAGGATGAGGCAAGCAGAAAAAAGTCGTGCCCAAAGAGGCAAAAGTGTCTGCAGGTGCTTCTAGTCTCTCTCTCTCTCGCTCTCGCTCTCTTTACGTGTGTGTGTGTGAGAGTGTGTGCGCTCTGAGCAGCTCTGTCCCCCACGGCTCTGAAACACAACTCTGTAAACTTGTTCCTCAAGCTCTTCTGTTAATAGGCCTAGTGGCCGCACCATGTGATGTAGATTGACAGCATGACAATGAGAAGCAGGCGACCAATCAGGAGGCAGCGCCGCGCAACACCAACCCGAGCGCACGGCACGGTTGTGTTTTGGTTCGAGGAGAAGCGAAAGGTAAAGTTTAAAACCAGAGTGTAAAAGATTATAAATTTAAAATATTTATCATCTCTCACAGTATATGTTTGAAAATCCTGCTTTTTCTTATTGCTCGAGTTCTTTTAAAGGCGGTAAGAACAACTCAAAATGTGGCCTTTGTGAGATAAAAAAACATTATTGAAAAGTTATGTTTCCTTAACTTTATACCGAATATGTCAGGCACATAAATATAGAATAACACGATTATGCAGTTTATAAAAACCAAAACTGTAGCGTCTGCGTTTACGTCACAACAGGCCTTTTGACGAATAAATAAATGACCATTACTGTAATTGCGAATGCGGATACAAATCAAGCAAATTAATCTAATGAAATACTTCAATTAAAAAAAGAGACTTAAAAAATGTTCCACAGACAGATGAACATCAACAAAACTCTTTCATGTCTACCTGCTAAATCACGCGTTGTTTGATCACAGTTCTCTATTATTAATTTGTCAACCACACAAACCACCACATTAAGGGTCAACTCTAGGGCAGCAAGTAAAAGCTAATTAAAATCTAATTGACTATTTAATCAGTGAACATCTTAGAGTCGACTGATCGTTTTTTCAATCATTCGTTTCAGGAGCTCAAATGAAAATATGTTTTACAGATTTGGTTTCCTGAGTGTGACAATAATTTCAATATATTGCGTTTTTGTAGATTTATTTTTGGGATCTGATTATTTTCTAACTTTTAGTAATCTACATTTTACAACTTTCTAAATTTTATGGACCAAATATAATTCTGAAAGAAATCATGGAAATAAACCCAAAAAACATATTACCTTATATTTGCAGACATTAAATAATATTGAGAGTTGTGATGATAACACATTCATATTATTGACTTGTGGATTTTTCTGTGCTACAGATACATATCTGTGAATTTGATTTAGTTAAAATGTTGTATTCGTAAATGTCTCTTAAATATCACAAAGACTAAATTAAAAATAAAGCTAAATATACTTTATTTAAAAGTGTTGTAAATAAAACCGTTAACGCAGGTTTGTCCACTTTTTATGAAGCATAATCAAGGTTTTCTCTGATGCCCACCATGAACGCACTGGTTTTCCAATGTTCTCCAGAAGAGTTGCACAAAACTTTAATACATCAACGACCTCTTGTGGAGGCGCAGGGCCATCTCGCCATCTCCGCATCAATCTATTGTCTGAGTCCCTGGGGGGAAAGCGAAAGTTGCCGCTGCCTAAACCCTGAAAGAAAGCAAGAAAGAATGAGAGAGTAAAAAAAATAGGCTGCGAGGACAGCACTCACTGCTGTCCTCGCAGCCTAATTTTTTTACTCTCTCATTCTTTGCTCTTATTAAACTGCTCACAGCTCGGCTCATCATTTGCAAGTGTCTCCTGACAAACGAGCTGCTGCTGTTGCTGCAAAACCGCTACAGAGCTTTAACAAACAGGAGCCAAAGCCCAGAAAAGCTCACAGCTGCTAATGAACACGAGCGAATGGCCCATCGAAAACAACCATTTACACCTCAGTATTTACATCAGCTCTGCGGGGACTCAGCTGCCGCCGCAACTCATGCGCATTTATGCGCATTTATGCGCGGGTTTCGCCTCCCGGAGCTGCAAAAAAAAAAAAAAAAAACTTAATACATGGCCGGGGTGGCGTCCATACGTCTTACACGACCTGGTGAGTTCACCTGCATCCAACTCAGAAGTGGATTTATGGAGTATTTATTTTTACTTTTATATATGTACTATTGCAAGATATGCTTAGGAAATCGCCCTTACAATTTAAACTTATGTAAATGAAGATTGAATTTCTCACCTTTAATTAAGCGTTAAATATGTAACGACACGAAGTCTTTTTTTAAAATGTTTTTTTACACAGTAAAATAGAAATTTAAAAATATAATTTGACTGTATTCTCGGCCGATGTTTGTGCCAATACACTCTCGTGCATTCATTCACAAAATATTAGGTAGAAAATTACATTATAGACCACATCGCAGTTGCTTATGGCAACTGACGAAAAAGATATTCACAGATATTGATGCAACTCACAAAGACGTACATAAACAACTTGCGTAATTTCTATAACCCCTATATTTGAATCCTATAGGAGTACACATACAGACACAAAGAAGGTGGAAGGATAAGGTGACCTGTTATCACATAAAGATGCTGTAAATCAGCTGGGGGAGAAAGGGGGGGGGGGGGCGACAACACTGCATGAATTTAATTTCCAGTTCAATGGGGCGTCAAACAAATCACAGCATAAAAACTAACGAGCAATTAGGAGCCTGCTAGTCATCTCATTCTCAGGAGCCAGTTATTTGTTTATCTGTGCTCATCTCAATACTGATCCGCTTGTAATCTTCTTATGGAAATTGGCCGGTAGCACAGAGCGAAAGAGACACACACACAGAGAGAGAGAGAGAGAGAGAGACAGGGAGAGAGAGGGAGAGAGATAAAGAGAGGAAGCACCGGGAGTAAAGCCTACAGTTTAGTAATGAGGCCTGTGTGCAGCTAATTTCCTAATTAAGGGCCGAAGGACCACCAGCACAGTCTGCTCTGATTCACAGCCCCACACAGGGGCCTCCGAGGGCCCCACGGTGCTGAGTGTTAGGAAATATGTGGGGGCATCCTGATGGGAGCGTATTAACCCGCAGGCAATCACATCCACCAGAGAATTTCGGGTTTAAAATAAAAACCAATCCAGTGCGCATGTGCTCGCCGAGCGCCGCGCTCCGCCGCTAAATGGAGCACAGTTCGAAAATAGACTTTAGTATTTGTGAATAGAAAAGAAAAACTGGAGATTTTGTGTGACGTGTTACCTAATAATGTATGAGAGGATTGGGATGTCAATTCTGATTTGAAATATACAGCGCAATACACTACTGTCAGTGATCGTTATTTTTTACTTCAATTGTTCGAAATGGTTCATATAAAATGACAGGGTTTTACTCCAATCTCAGAATACCGACCGTCTTCTCGCGATTCTAGATTTATTTTTTAATAGTCATTCAAAATAGTTTTCTGCCATTTTAGACATATTTTGTATTTAAATATTAGACTGAAAAATATAATTATAAGGATTCTGACAATCGATTAAGATTGATGCATTTGTCTAAGAGTTCTGACTCAGTGATCTGATCACTGACGTTTTTGTCTGAGATGTATTTTTTAGTAGAAATGTGATTTTGTAATTCCTGACCTGGACACATATCGTGCCCCTAATCTCATGAAGAATATGTTAGAGTTGTCATTAAACTCCCAGAATACTGAGAATGAAAAAACACAGAAAACGATTTCAATGTTAAACCCTGCTTTGATCTCGTTGTGAGTCTGATCTCAGAAATATGTTCTTTTTCTCAAAAACAATTCTGGAAATTTTCTGAAACTATGGTCGGATTTCGGACTACATTCTCATTCTACAATCCGATCTCAGTATTCTAAGATCTGACTCTAATCTCTGAATATGTTCAATTAATCCGAGCATTCTGAATTAGATTATAGTCGGAGTTGCTTCTCTTCTACAACAGTGACGTTAATCAAAAGACAAGTTTTTTTCTATCGTCAGTGCACGGAGGTTAGTGAAAAGACTTGGTTAGCCAATATTTGCAAAGAGATTTAGGAAAATTTAAATCTACTAAAGTCTAATAACAGACACAAAACGACGTTAATCCCACCGCTGGGATTAATGGGAGCGGTCCGTCTGTCGTCGTCCGTGTCTGTGGACGGAGACACTTTTAATTAGAGAGGGACAAAAGCAGCGCACGTTCAATATTACAAAAAAAGAACAAGATTTTTCTGCATCAAATGGATAACAACAACAACAACAAAATAATATTCATTATTATTTTTATTTTCTTTAAATATCACGCCCTTAATAATCCAGGGCTTTATTTTTTTTTCTTAAGTTGTTTTAAAGGGGACTTTTGCGACATTCTTATTATTTAACAAAGTTTTTTCTCCTCTCTAATTATAGCCACAGTGTGGAGACTGCCTCGTTAAGACGTGCATGTTTTTGGAGCAAAAATGCAAATGAAGATGCAGTTTACGCACGGTCTGCTGTTCCTATTGTGTGCCGCTGAATGGTCGCGTCCTCCCAGTTCAACACAGGTAAAATAATATTCACGGGTCATTTCAGTGAAGAAAGTGCAGCCATTATCACCTCTTTATCCCACAAAGGCCCAGGATTCCTCCTGGTAATTTCACTTTATTTCACCCCGTCAGAGTCAGAGTTGACAGGAAAGACTATAATCTATAAATACTAATGGAGTTGTCCGATGTCTCCCGTGTGATCATGGACATTTTTCACTGATTTATTACCTTTATTTGTTTGTCTAGGTTCATATCCCACCTTCTTGCCTCGTTTTTAAATGACAATTAAATGTATACGAATAGAAGTAAATAACAACAAAAAGTCATCTTTGACATTTTATGAGATATATAATGAGCAACAGGTATGAATAAACGTAATTAATATAATTAATTATTGTATGAGCTGAACATATGAATGGAAGAATAATAAAAATATATCGTCAGTTTCAGTCAAATTATGTAATTATAAAATTGTTTTTAAATGATTAAAATGTATATTTTAAGGTTATAAAACGTAAAATGTATGACTTCTAAGAAAGAAATCTGCTCAAATGTGAGAACAAAATAATCAATACTATAATTCTGAAAATTGTGACTTTCTGAAATATTGGAGCTGAATGTGTGTTTGCTACAAATAAAAAAGGAAACATTTTTTCTTGAAAAAAAGATTACCTGGCCTCTCAAAATGATTTATTTTATTAGATTATTTTATTAGGAATTGAGTTGCAAATTAATTACTTTTTTTAGAATATACATTTTTTATGGTAAATATATTTTGATATATATTTCTCCAATTCAATTCCAATTCCAATTCAGAGGTTTTTTTTTATATATTTCTCCAATTCAATTCCAATTCAGAGGTTTTTTTTCCTAAGGGAAACCTCTGAATTCTAAATTAATCCAAATCTAATCTGATGTTTAAGTCAGAATCCTATTTTTTTTTAATCCTCAATTAATTAAGTTAAAATCCTGCCTTTCTTCATGTCTGTCATTGTTAAATGAAATTTTAAATATATTTAACAGTTTAAAATGTATTCACAGTGATCTGACTTATTTCTCTGAATTAACCAACCCCATTTATTTCCTTTATTGTTCTTATTATTAAGTAAATGTTGACTATTGGAGAATTCCCACAAAATGGAGAAAATGATGATCTGTTTACGACCTATGTTCTGCTTATTAGGACCGAGAATCAAACTACCAGCCACAGATGTTCCTGGTTTGTGTCTTTAGACCAACTGCAGTGAGAGGCAGCAGATTATCAGAACTCACCACACCGATGGGATCCAGTTCAGATGATCATCTCTACATGTGAGCCAGTGGATAGGTGTGGGCCATTAGAAAAACTGTCACTCACACACACCTTAAAAAGAGGAGCAGAAAACACACTCAGAGAACAGATGTGAACCTTCACAAGAAGCTGTAACGCATCTGTCAGGAGAACATTGCTTTTTTGTCTGCCTGCAGTGTAGCAGAGTAATTTGTGGTGACATAAGGAGCGAAAGCACACAGGTTGATATATATATTTGCTCTCAAGAGCAGAGCTCTGTGGAATTTATCCTCCTTTACTTTATTCACCCTGCTTGTAAAACAACATGCAGGATGCTTGTTTGCCTTCAGGAGCTGTCTTTGAGGAAATGCCTCAAACTTCAGTGTCTTTTTCTCCTGGCCAGACCAAGCATGTCCTGCCTCATTATGCTGCTGCTGCGTGAGCAAGGCCAAGGCTGCAGACACAGAGCCCAGTGTAATCTCTTTAACCCGTCGCTGTCATGAGCAGACAAGGCGTGACCACCCAGCACCGTGCTCCGTCTCACTTATCCTGCGGGAGAACCGTTTGTCACTTCATCACCCCCACCCTCTGTTGATTATTTGGGGAGATGCGTGTTCTGGCCACATCTGATCAAGTGTTTGCTCCACAGGCAGACACTCACATTAGTCGGGGTTAATCACTGTAACAAGGCCACTTCATAAAAATCACACGCAGCAGTGTGCAGATAAAAATTCATATACTCGCTGACCCCTGGATTCCCATAATTGACACGAGCATTTTTTTGCAGTAGTTATTGACTAATGAAGCTCAAAAAGCAAATGAAATGAAATCAGAGCAAAGGACTTTTTTATGAATATACAATCATTATTAGCTCCCTGATGTCATTTCTGAGACAAAGACTCCTCACGTTTACTCAGCAGATTAGGCAAAACAGCCATATTTAACAATTTGGTATATGATGCGTTAAATGGAAAAATAAAATACTGAATTATTTTAAATTATAAGCTCCAATCCACCACGAGCTCATTTTAATTCAGATTAAATAAGGCAGAAGATTTTATATAAATACGGTTTTGCTTCTGAGCCACTGGGTTAAAGGCTGGTTTAAGACTTTCAGTTCAGCACCATCATTTCTGTGTTTGCCTGAACTTCCTCTGAGGAGAAGCTGAGCTCACACTTGAACCTCTAATCTGTGTGATCCTGATTGATCCTACAGAGACTTCATATTGCATCTCATTTACTGCTTTTGGTAAACAGCTACTTTCAAAGCATTTTGTAGGTTTTGTGTGCGTCTAACAAAATTCAACAGTTTAAATGAGCCCTACGCCTTTTCTTTCTCTTTCTCTGAAAGTTGGAAAGCAGATGTCTACTGTTTGGAAGCTGCTGTCAATAAAAGGCTCTATCAGGCTCCTGTATATGATCATCATTTAAATACTGTTATTGCCTGACTGGCTAATTGCAGCACTCATTATTTTTCATGTATCTTTTGAATCAATGCCGTGTTCAGTTTTCTCCTAAAACAATGGGAACTTTCTGCCTGTTTTGTTTGGGAGAAAGTGCTGAATCCTCACTTTTTGCTTTGAGCCATGCCCGAGCAAGACGCCCCGCTTTTGTTTTAGCCATAATTGAGATCCCACTAATTTAGCCTTTTCTTGAATAAAAATGAATCAGTCTCTTTGTGGAGCCTTCATTAGTTTAAGATAATATTGTGAGGTTGCACAATTAATTTGCGGTGTAACTTAAATTAATTAAATAAACCCAATTTTGTAACATGATTAATGCTGCCAAGTTGTTATCAGTACTCTGCTCCAGAATGAATATGTAACAGCACTGAGCTTTAATTGAAGACGCTGGGAGGGTGGAGGGGGAGTGGGGGGGATTCAGGGCCACCAAAACAGGGTCAGCTAATTAAAAAAGGGTAATTTATTAAAACTGAAATAAAAGAAACAAACAAGCATAATTATATAAATCATTAGGTGTAATCTGTGATTTGGAGAAAATGACAAATCTCTGTGGCGTGCCCAGTACTTGATAAAGCGGATACTGGTCATAAATTTAATCCTAGTCAAGGTCTCATTAAAAGAGGCATAATTCAATTAAGAGTTAGCCATCGCCCTCTAAATATATTAATTACCTTCAGCCTGATGAGATGAGTGCAGTGATTATTTGGTTATTTCATTAGAGCCAGTCTTCAGGGAGAGCAGCAAACTGAGGCGGGAAGCTCCTGTGTTGACAAGATAATGGATGGAGAGGACGGAGATGAATTTGGTCACCTTGCCTTGGGCTGAGCCAAGAGGTGAGACAGAGGACAGCACGAGTCTGTAAGAAGGTAGATGAAGGGTTTAGATGGCAAGAGCTCAAACATTATATGCTTATTAAATTTATGGACAAGTCATGTGTGAAAGTATGAACATTATATTAAGATTTAAGATCAAAAGGATTGAATAAAGTGTTTTAGTTTGTCATTCAATTCCTAAGACTTAAAGACATTGAAAAATAAATAAATATGACAAATTCTGTTTCCTAAAAAAGTAGTTGCTCTTTTTGAAAAAAAATAAAATAAACAAAAAAACATAAAAGCTAATATTTATAGATAGATAGACGATGTCGATTTTACAATCTTGCAGATAGAATGAGAGGTTTTAAAAAGACAGAAAATCTTCTTGCAAAGTTTAGCACGTGGAGCGCTTTGACTTTTCTTTGGTGGATGCACTTTTTATACCCAGTATTGAGACACCATCCCTGTCACCACTTAACCTGCAACTTGGTTCCTCTTCAAAAGTTACTTGAATTTGTATGTCTTAATTTGTATAAATTTCAGTGAATATGCTTCATTCTTTCACATGAATTATTTAAGTAGAGAGCTAAGTTAGTTATTTACATGTTAAGGACATGCACTACAACAACATTTTTTGAATCATACTTTTTTTACTTCAAATTAAAAATGTACATACATTGTATCTCTCAAATGCTCCTGCGTCCACAAAAATGTTTCAGAGATAAATAAATAAAAATGAAATGAAAATAATATGAACTTTCATGTTTTTCCTAAAACTTTGACTCCCATGTTCTAATTCTTCACACACCCTCACACATGGAGAGGTGTGAGAGAAAACAGCTCACTGCCCGACACACTGACATGTCACTGAAACATACACGATGTTGTTGCTGCTGCTGCTGCTCTGGCTGATTTTCAGCCTTTTCAGGCTGACAGCAGGACAAAGAGCCTCAGCTACTGTTATCTGCAAGCAGGCATTCACTCTTGCTTTCGCCATTCTTATTTTACTTAAATATAAATGTAGCTCTGTATGGGATTTTACATGTAGCAACACACACTGAGCTCAGCAATAAGTCACTCCTGCAACCGGTGTGAAAACGCACAAGAAAGGGTTATTTAATGTGGCAGACGGTTTAGATGTTGCTTAGAATATATTAAGGGAGACAGGATGTGTGGGTGCTAATTATTTAATTACTAGGTGGACAATATGCAACATTAAATGTGATGGTCAGTCTTTTGAATTGAAGATTTTGTAAGATTACAAATGCAAAAAGTGATTTTTTTAATTCACCATCTAAACGCATCTCTTAATTTCTCTTAAAAGGTAGTCACAAATAATGTCCAAAATAATAATAATAATAATAATAATAATAATAATAATAATAATAATAATATGCACTGAAAAGTTTGAATGATAAAAAAAATACTTTTTTTTGTTAATGACTGATTTCCATTATTGGGAGAATATTCAATTCCCCCTGCATACGTTAGTTCTCAGAAAACATGCGCAAAAAACACAAACCTTTATTCTGAAACTAATGGCCAAACCAATAAAGATGTGGGCTCACCTTTATGAACTTATCAACACTTATTGCTATTATTTTGATTACTATTATCGTGTTTGCAAAGATTTAACATCCTTACAAAGTCTACAAAACAGTCAAAACACTGACGTGGACCACAGATGTGAAGAGACAGTTGAGAAAGCTCCCTGAAGCGCCCTCCAGAATCCTCCTCCCTCTCCCCTCTTTTCTCCTCTCCTCTCCTTTCCTCTCCTCTGCTATCCGCTCCTCTCCTCTCCTCCCACTCTGTCCACAATATTGAGCAGACTCACCAAGCTCTGACTGGTTCCAGTGCTTCTGCTGCTGCTGCTTCCCAATGCCTCTCTGTTAGACACACCTTGAACAGCTGGCTGTCAGCGTGGCCCAAGAAGAGGACCATGCAGTGGAAGATAGCAGTGACATCCAAAAAAACCCAGAGCTTCACTTCAGACTCCAGGAAAGCATTGGAGCAGGAGCTCCTCTAATGCAGCAGCAGCACAGACATATAAAGCGTGAGAGACTAGAGGCAGTGACTGGTGTGGTGTGGTGTGGTGTTGTAGTGCACACTGCAGCTGAGCTCTCCCTGCTCTGGGACCCATCTCATTCAGCCAAGATTGCTTCATACAAAAGTTGACAATGCAGCAGTGAAAGCCATTGTTGATATTCAACATTTTTTAAATAGCTGAGCAGAATAGACAACATGGCAGGCTGCAAAACTTGGCAAGGGAAACTGACCTGGAGCTTCCCATTTGAAAGGTTTTTCCAGGCTGGGTGAGAGCAGAGAGGACCATTGTGTTGTGTTGTTAGAAACGCAGAGGGCTGGTGTGAAAGACTTCCAAAAAAACAAAAACATCTACTATTGCGGGCGAGAAAAAGAGCGAGTACAGGGTTTTCTGTGCAGCAGAAAGAGGACAATCCAACTGCACGGTGACAAGTGTATATGCATTACCAAGAACAACAAGGACAAAAAAAATGAATGCAATCAGATCCTTTTAGACACAGATTATATTTCTGTTATTCAAGTTTAACAAGACAGAAACTGGTTAAAATAGCAGATTAAAAGGGCTGTCAAAACTTACATGAAATAACTGAGTAATGGTGAAATATTTTGCTGCAACAAAAAGGATAAAGTCTATCATTCAGCCGTGGCTCGGCTCACGTCCAGAGGAATGTCCTCCAGAGAGCCATCAATTTCTCTAATGTTGCAGGGACGAGTATCACACCGCCTGACACTGTTAATGGTGTTGTGTTTCCGTCATTGTCAAGCTGACAGGCGTGCAGATTGATCTGGATATTTAAGAAGCCTTTAACCTTCCATACGTCAGAGCATCACAGTGCCGCTCTGACCTCAGAAGCTATCAAAATGTGTCTGTGTGTGTGTGTGTGGGTGAGGATGCGTGTGCGAGTCAACGCTGGCCTTGAGGCGGATCCCAGTGTTGTGTTTCGAGCATCCTCGTGTCTCGAGGTTGGGTTGTAGAGGGGGTGGTGTTGGGGCTGCTGGGCCTGAGTGATTAATGCAGACTTAAAAACCCTTTAAGGAAACAGCTGCATTACCTGAGGGCAGAGAGAGGCTTATCATGCAGCAGGACACCAATACAAACCGATTCACTCCTCACAGTAGATTACAGTAGATTTAAAAGACATTTAATCACTTTAGATTACAGTGTTGTGCTGAATTTAAAAAATCCCTGTGTAATAAGAACATGTGCTCATTTTAAAATGCAGAAAAGGGGCACATTAAAGGTGATTTATATGTTTCGGGTGTCGTTAGTGTTGGCCTCCTTAAATGTCTTTCCATTAACAAGAAGTGAACTGAATATAATTTCTATGGAGTCATTGAAGCCCCATTCTTGAAATAGCTGAGGTTCCTGCCATATTTTATTATTCTCGAGTCATCAAAATAGCAGATAGCAGATCAGAAAAGTACATTTTTCCTTTTCCAGTAAGGTTGTACAGCTTTTTTACAAGAAGTAAAATCATCATTTCCAAAACTACAACAACTAGAGACCTAAGTGACTCATAAATCTCTAAATTTGACCTAGTGGTACCTTTGATTTTTTTCCCCAACTACTTTGAAGAGTGTCTCCCTAAAATAATTTACCTGACAAATAAAAGTACATTCCCTAATTTTATATTGTAGTCTTTATCACATGTTAGAAAGTGTACTGGATTTTCTGGATTTTTAGATTACGTTTCTAAGTTAGAAAAACAAACAAAACAATAAACCACAGAAAGCGTGCCATTTTTGTGTGAATTAGTACAAACTACAAAAAAAAAAGAAAGAAAAGAAATCATGTGTCTTTTGGGATGCTGATTTTAGCACCAGATAATCCTTAGAGTGAACTGATTAATCGTACAAAGGAAATATAGAGTCCTGGAACAAGAATAATAGAGGGTCCATGGTTATTCGCAGCGTGCAGTGTTGTAACTTGCCCCAGATCTGTGTATATACCTACATTATTTCTGTGTATGAGGAAACATGAGCAGCCCTTTGACACAGGAAGGATTAGGGCTGGAGATGTGTAATTACATTGATCAGGCAGAAATTACAGCTGTGAGAAAGAAGGCAGGACTCGCATAATCTGAGAGGAGTGTCAGAGGAGAGAAGGAGGCAGAGAGACAGGAGAGGGGAACCTGTGGCGTCTTTACTGAAAATCCACGTTAGTGCCACCCATCACACACTATTAGCTGCCATCAAAGTTCTAATTTTACTCTAGCATTACACCCCGCTCCCTGTGTCCCCCTCCCTCCCCTGCTGGTCTGGATGGTGTAGCCTGGTGGGAAAACGACATTCAATCCCCTGTCCAACCCATTCAGACCAAATTGGCAAATGACATCTCTCCGCCTCTCAGATTTCGGGGAAATGAAAGGTACCCCTGCACAGACCGTCTGAGTCATCAAAAGCAGCTGCTGTAGAAGGAGCAGAAGTAAGTGCAGCGGAAAAGTGAAGACCAGTGAGGCCAGGGAGTGGACTGAGGAGGGTTAACAGCCTCCGTTGTCCTCCTCACTTGTGACAGTGCTAGGCAGAGAACACGGAGAAAGGAGGGAAGAATGCCTACTCAGCAGTTCAAAGCAAGTTCTCTCAGACCAATGGGGGAAAAAGTTGACCTCAATTCCCTAATCACCCACTTTACTAGCACTGCAAGGCAGAGCAGAGAAGGCAGATGAGAACACCCCAACGAGGGTCAACAGCAGTGAGAGGGCAGCACATAGAGTTAATATTAAAGAATAAAGGTGTGCTGACTTCCTTCTAACAGCAGAAGTGTATCCATGTATGTACATATGCAAGTGCCAAATGCTGCGATCTGAAACAGAAGCACTAACCCAATTTCACAGTACAATGTGTGAAAATGGAAAAAAGGCCTTATCTTACTTTTATGTTTTATGAAGAGTTAGCATCCCTCTAGGAAACACTTTGGTTGCATGTACAAGCTCTTACCATTTGACAAACTGACTTATCGTTTGACTAACTTGTCCAAGTCTGTACTATTGCAGCAAACTACTATGAACTAGGAATGTGATTTTAGCAACAAAATAACAAGTCTTACGCGTTTGAGAGATCTAAGAAAATATAATGACAATAATCAATGATCTGCAACGAACCTCATTTATCAGGCTTTAAGCCGTTCCTGAACACTGAAACTGCAGAAGTGTTAAGTGTAGCAGACTTTTCAGACGGAGTTCTTTCAGACCTGTGCACACTGCCATTTGTACTTGTGCATATATAGGATATAACTGTAACACTGTATTAAACACATGTTCACAAACAGCAAGGTCTTTCAACAGTGCTTTATACCATCACACATGGAGAAAGACGTAACAGGCTGTGTTCCTATAGTGTGTGTCATAGTGGCTGCCTGAATGAATGGCACTCTTACTGCTAATTAAGTGCTAATGGCAGTCCCCCCACAGAGAATACTAATTAATTTTCTATTCTTCTGTGGTCTGAGCGCGCACTCCACTGAGGCCTAATGAGGGGAGGCAGGTACATCTTGTCCCAGGCTGGGTTAATAAGCACAACACGGTGGGGTCTGACTAGAGTGGGCCATACCAGGGGGGCTGCTTCCTGTTCCCTAATCTTAGTAGAGCCCCCCTCAGAATGCTCTCACAATGAGAGACGAAAGGTAATGAAAAGGGTTTGTCTCATAACCTCAGGAAACAGTCAGTAAGTGTGTGCCAGGACGTTTTTAGACGTCTGTTTAGTATAAAATGAAAGTATTTTGAATTAAACATATGCAAATATAGAATTTATATTAGTTTGTGCAGTGTTGCAGGCAGTGACAATGCAAAACATAAATATAAGAATTTGCATTGAAAAAAGTGTGCTTTTTGCCTAAAGATTAGAAGATTATTGACACCAGTAGAACCAGGTCTTATTGACTACTTTTCCACCCATTAGAATTAGGACTTAGAAAGTGCTGATGTCTCTGAGAAAACAACTTTTATTTCACATAGTTTCCAGCTCCCTGAGAATGTGCAGCAGGGGGAAAATAAATAAATACATTACCTGTTTGGATGCAAAAAGCCTGGGAATCAGATTCAAAGTGCTGAAGAATGAATGGGTGTGCGAGTATGTTGGTGCGTGCATGCACGTAAACACCGATGGAGGATGCTATTGGAATTACCTGAGGCAGATAATGGCGGTGCATTAGATTAACTTTCAGTCCCTAAATGCAACACATTTAGGCAATCTTGTCCCCCAAAAACATGTCAATGTCTGAAAGGCCTCCCTCTCGCTATCAGGAGCCTCTGGTCCCCCACACTGATGCAGCTGGCAGGGCGCTACCGTCGACTGTCAAAACGAAGCGCCAGATCTAGTTATAAAATAATTGAATTTTCATATCAGAGGGGACCAGAGTCCCAGCAGACAATAGGACTGCTGAGTCCTCTCTGATATTGGCTCAGGCCCTTTGCCATGCGCATGAAATCAGTATGTTAATGTTCCAGGGTTTTCTTTTTTTAAGGACACTTGTGCTCCCGCAATGTACTACCGATGCGGTTTAAAAAAAATTGCAACTATTGATAAGTAGGCAGGCAGCAACCCCTTCGACCCCCTCCTCCCACCCAACAAGCTCGCTGCCGCCACCACCATTGCTGCTCCCCGCAACCCCCTCCTCCAAAACCACCAAGGCTGGAGACATTCTCACACCCCATCCTCCCCCATTATTAAAATTGTAATTTATTTTTTCTAAATCAGAATGACAGCTTGCTTTCTTTTCTCTGCAGCAGGCACTGAATCACCCAGCTTTAATTACTTTCGTAACTTCGCTGACCCTGTGAGCGCGGCTGCTCTCCTGGAGAAAATGGGACCTCCAACAAAGGCACTCCACAGCCACAGCCGCCTCCAATTCATTCAAAATGTGAAAATTTATCAAACTACTGATTTTTTTTTTCTTTTTCATATAAGATTTTGTTAACATTCCACCTCCTATCTTTTTCACACTCCCTCAGAACAACCCTGTTTGCAACCGTCCTTCCAGCAGTTCCAATTTCCCCCTCCTACAAAAACTTCAGATAACTGAACAACCTCACAACCAACTCTCCCTCTTTCTGTGAGAGTTTGTGTTGACTCCACAAGGTCTGCTCAGGTCAAAACAGCCAGAGGTCAGACTATTATCACGAAAGCCTGTCATATCCAGGCTACGGCCTCAGCAGCAGGGAGGCAGACGTTCAGGTTCCTGAGGCCACAAAAGCCAGATCAGCTCTACATTTGATCACTTCACACATCTCTGGCCCTGCAGTGGTCAGGGTCAAGCTTTATTCAACAGATCCATCAGAGTCCATCGCACAGCCATCAATGGCCTTTCATGATCACTGGTCATCACCACAATGGAGTAGCCTCTGCGTTTAAAAGCATTTAACACTTTCTCAAAACCGTCACATGACTCATGGACGTGACACTGAAGCGTGCAGAAACTTCTTAGCCAAACACCAAGGTTTTTTCAGATGTTGCCCTTTCCTTGCTTTGTTGCAAAAAGGTTCAGGCATGTTTCCTTTTTCTTTAACAAGATTCACATTTGCCTGACATAATTTCACCGTGCCTGACTTATTAAAGTAGCTAATATGTTGTAATCCCCACTATCGCTCTCACCTCCACGCTGAAACACCTCTGTTTTGGGCTGTGCCACGGGGTGAACCGCAACAGCGCAGGCACAGTTGGTCTTTTGCTGACTGCCTGATAATTGAATGAGCGATTATCCCTCACATTAACAGACAATGATACAGAAAGCAGTGCCATATGTACGGAATATTAATGAGTGGCTGCAGCAGCTCAGATAAGAGCAGCACGACGCAATTGCTGTAATAGGGGTTAAAACAATTTGCCCCCCACCACCCTCACACACACATCAGCTCCCATGATTTCCACCAACCTAATATTCTATTTTTTTCACAAACGAAGCAGCCGCCACCATCCATCCACCCCCCACGGCCCGTACTTGTGCCTAGGTCTGACCTCGCTGTTGCCAAGACCGACCTGCCTTTGTGTAGGAGTGCGAACACAGTGACATGCTAATGATGTGAAGCTGAGCTTCTCTAGTATTTATGTTATGAGGTATTTTACAACAACAAAGCTGAGAAAACAACATTTACATTTTCTTCTAGATAGAGCAGGGGTGTATGAAGAGGCATCAAGGCCAAACTTATGTAGCCTGCAAATTCTGCAGTCATGATCTGAGATTACTTTTTTGAAATGTTATTATGTTTAGGAAAATGTTATTATTTTCAAATTATTTTTTGACTAAAGCTATTCTTTGTTATCTGTTGAGTCTAATCAGTATCATTTGGGCTATTAGTTAGTATTTCGCATTTCTTTTAAAGAAACGTTAGGTGTTTCGGGTAAAAGTTTATTCCCAACTTTTTGTATGTTCTGGATGTATCACTATGGCTTTTACTTAAATTTTGAAAAATTATGCACAGTGACTTATATCCACTAACTAGGATTTGAGGATTTTGATTCATATGTTTACATATTTTTTCTTGACATCTGTCCACAATAATACATTTAAAATTTGCAGGGGTCATAATTACAAACTATAAAAACATACTTCTACTAAATCTAATCTCTCTCTCTGTCTCTCTCTCTCTCAAAAGGCAAATGAAGCCTTAAGGCTTTTTTGGAGTGATTTTAATCCGATACAGTTAGGTTGTTGTTCATAATTTCCTGTTATTACCAGAGTTCCACTGCATAATCTGTCTTCATCTTCCTGCTGTTTCTAGTAAATTGATTTTTTTTTCTCAGCGCTGTTTTAGCTAAAGTAAAGATGCAAGTGCAGCCAAAGCGTTCAGTGCCACAAAGACCCATCAAGAATAACCTCCATCAAATTTCATTAAAGGTTGCAGAGAGTCAGGCAAGTGAAACATTTGGAGCACGCTTCTATATGAATCGTCATGCCAATCAATATCTAACATCTATTAGCATTTGGAAAGCAATATTTCCCCTTTTACTTTGCAATAATTGTGCTTAATGCTGTGAAGTACCTTATCATTGGTCTGACGGCAAAAGAAAGGCCGGTTGCCATGGTGACAGTGAAAGCCATTGGTTTCCTTTTCAGCAGAATAATGAACTTCTCTCCTCTGTGTGTCACTCTTCCACTCCACTCTCAGCCTCTTCGATTAAATTCAAGTCCGCGCGTCCTTGAAATCCCTTCGTCTCTGCCTTATAATTTTCTAAACAAGAGAAAAACACAGAAATGTTCAAGGCTCAACAAATGTGTCACTTCAGCCCGAGGCGTAGGTGTATTTCCTGTCCATACAGTACATACAGTATTTACATCTACATCTGAAGTTGACATGTGCGCAATGGTTATGACAGTGGAGGGCTTCAAAATTATATTTCTGAAATTTGTGGCTTGGAGTAATATATATGTATATATATATACATAATTATTTCTTTAACAGAAGTATTTTATGTTATTCCTAGAAAACACTCAAATAAGAAAAACACCTCTCAAGCATATGTTTTAGATTATTTAAATATTATTCATTATAACCTGATATTTATCAGCCTCTATGACATGAGAGGAAAAACATCTGTTAAAAAACATTTTTTTCTTCATATTCCAACTGCATTTTCATTTTTTGTTTTCGATAACTACTTCAGGGGTAAGCCGATATAATGAATCTTTGTTTACGTGTTTTTCATTATTATTTTAAAAATTTGTGTAAATGACTGTGCTTTCAAATGTAGTACGTGAAAATTAGTTAAATCTATAAATCACACTGTGCTTTGACTGGCTGATGCCCTCAGCCGTCACACAGTATTGCAAAGATAATTATTTATCAGTGCTTTTGATTAGTGTCATGGAAATATTTTTTTTGGTTTGAAGGCATATTTTCTGACATTTAGTTAAGGAAATAATTATGACAATATCAATGTTTGAAAAGCGTCCAGGTGTCATTTCTCTTATTTTTAATAGAATTAAAGCAAATACTGTGTTTGTTTGTTTTTTAAACAAAAAGGGTTGTCATTAAAGTGACACATTGAGCATACACACTAAAAAAAACCCATAAAACAAATTCTCTCATACACATAATAAATATTGAACCAAATAAATTTTTTTAATTCTACTTAATCTTTTAAAAAACTGCCTGATTACATTATATTTTTACAATGCTGTCATTTAAAGTATAATTTAGTACAAATTTATCTTCTAGCAAAATAATAATGTTAATTAAAGAATTCTTCAAACACATAATATACAAAAATCAGCGAGTATGTCTATCTTCATTGTGTCACAGCTGTGCTAACATGCCTGGAAAATAATATGATCAATACTTAAATTAATAGGACAATTAGGTTTCATTAAATCAGACGTTCCTTTCATAAGGACAACTCTATGACAAAGCAAACAAGTGAAAACAGGGATGTCTGAAAACTGCAATGTTGCGACAGTTTTTTTTATTGAAAACCGTCGCTACGTCAATTAACTCTTTATCTTGGGATGTGTATGAAAAAAAATCACAACATTCAATTCAAATTCAAACTCAACATTTTATGAATAAAAATATCAGACAGGGTTGTCTGAGCGTCAAAAGCCATTTTTTTTCTAATGTGCTTCTAAATTTGTCAAATTTATTCATGGAAATTGCCTATTTTCAACAGTGTGTTAATGCAAACCTAAATCAGCCAATCACAGCAGCTTGGTGGATGCAGGCCTGCAGAAGGTTGTAAGAGGGGAGCTGATGAAGTTTAAAGTGAGCACCAGAATGGAGAGGAAAAGGCAATATAGGTAAAGCAGCTGAGCTAAAGCTGCAAGACACCGCAAATGTCACATTATTAGTCACACATAATATTTAAAGTGACCAGTGAGCATATGCTGCACAGTGAACATTCTATCTTTTTGGGCCACTCTCTGTAAACTCTCGTGAGTAAAATTCCAGTAGATCAGCAGTTTCTGAAATACCCAGACCAACCCTAGAACAGCAACTATGCTACTTTTAAACGGTAAAAACTTCCAACAGTAAATCTTCCATTTAACTTCTGATGCCCAGATGTGTTAATGTTATCAGATCCTCGTAAACATGTAAACATGTCAAAGTATTTTTAATTAAATTATACAGCAGGGTCTATAGAAGTTTCCGTACGGTGAGCTTGGCTGGTAAAAAGAGACAACATCTGCTTATTTCAGGGCAGATGTTACTGCAGAAACCTCTGGTCAACAAATCAAGGATGGAAGCCACATTAAATTAGCAATATAAAGTAAAGTACTCAAGTTTCTTTTCCTAGCCGTTTTCACACTGTTGGGCACTTAAGTGATAAATTGAATTTTTAAAGCCAGGATTACCAACAACTTAGTACCATAGTACCATATACAGTACAACAACATTTTTTATGCAATACTATCTTCATCTTTCTTCTGAACAATACAAGACAAATTGCACAGTACGACCATTAGTGTTTACACTTTTTCAGTTACAGGTTGTTGTTTTACAAGACTGTAACTGCTGTTTTTTGGCTAATGTGGCTGTTTTTCCTGGTTAAATTCTTCTGTTATTTTTTTTAATTATTAATATCTGTTGTGTTGTGATATATATAGCCTGGCATTTTCAGGCTCATGGAGAAGCTGGGGGTCTTTGGGCAAAGTGCAACAGTATGATTCACAGAGCCATATTCTGAGATAAACAATTATTTGCCATTTCTAACAACTTCTAAATTGTGTATCCCTCAGTGTAGTCCATAAATTGCTAAACAGTTGTGGAAAATGTTAAATAGTATAGCTAAATTCAATTGCTAAATCATAACATAACATATTTTGAATCTGTGCACAAACCAAAAATAACCTATGTAAAACAAGGAAAAAGAAAAACTTAAACAACAAAGACAGAATTACTCAGCCAAACGGCTAAACGCTAACAATAGTCAGCCACCACACATAGTTATTAACTTGTTAATTCACTGAGTAGACAACTTTCCATTGACCAAATATTTCAATAAATAAAAATATGACTTACATAAAGAACCTACACCTCACTGACACCTTTAACGACTGCACTTGCTTTAAAATATGTATAATACTCAAATAAACTAAACGTTTCAAACACTAATATGGGAAAGGGGGTTTAAATGCTAGCACGCTTGGCTATGTATTTAGTTGTGGTAAAAACCGTACTCAAACATTATCAAAGTACCATGAAAAGCCATTAATGATTTAAAAAGTACCTTCACACAAATGTAACGTGCTGTTCTTCGAGAAGTTTCCATGTGACTTGTGTTTGCGTTCGGACATTGCGCCACACTTTTGTCAACACGAGTATTTAAACTAAACATTTAAAACGACGTGTTTGTAATTAGTGAAATCATCTGCCCCGTTTTGTAATGTCGTTTAAGTGAGCCCTCAACAGCCAGTGTTTAAAAAGACCACAGAGAGGCGCTAGTGAGCTTTTAATGCAACACAACTGACGGTAGCTTACTCACTGTGTGATGGGTTCTTCAAGGTTCTTCACATCCAGGTAAGACTAATTATATTGACAATACATAATTTCTCTTTGATCAGCTTTTGTAAAGTTAAACGGAAAATGGTGTCCTAATCAGAGCATTGGTTGTTTTTGTAACAGCGGTAAGACACAGTGTTGGCACAGGTCATAGTTTATTTAAATATTGAAATACATTTTTTTTCAAACTGCCCAAAATATTAATGTTAATGCTTACCTCCAGTATTACAACCCACATTTATTTAATTATTACACCAATGGTAAGCCAAGAGCATCCGCCTCCATCTTCTCTTTTAAATTAAAGTGGGTCAAGGACCTTGTCTTGACAAAACATTGTATTGTATTTACTTTGTATTCATTACAAAGAAAAAAACATTGGTGATAATGACATGGTTCTGCACATGTAAGTATGGTTAAATTGATTACTCTTCTAATGCAGATGAAAACTAGCATAAACATCTAAAAGAATGTTCTATACAGTTGAAAATAATAATGCTGCCATACCAACCAGGATGTAAATGTATTTATTTTGTATTTAGTTTTTTCTATTAAATCATTTGTACATTCTCTTAGATTTAATTATATTAAACAAACAAATTGAATAGTTCTACTTTTAAATATTTACACTTCTGAAAGGTATCCTTACTTCAGGACATTCAGATCATGCTACATGAGCAAATTTCACGATGTCTAGAAAAAGTAAACACGTAGTCACGCTCTCTTTCACTTCAGCTTCTTCAAAACTACTGTGGAGTTGAAGGTCTTTACATTCCATGTATCTACTCAAAAGGGAAAAAAGAAAATCCCTTATCGGTCTGATGAAGCGTGGGTGGTGTGTAGTGATGTATTCTCCAGATCAGTCTGCCTCACCCTGCTTTTCTTCATAGTTGAGCAAAAGGCAGCTGGAAAAGTTGAAGGACACAAACAGCTGGGGGGGGTTTAATTACGGTTTCTGGGTAACAGGAGGGTATTGTTGATAAAACAGGAAGGAATGCCTAAAACATATAAACCATAACTTCCTGAATGTATCTACAGCTTAATTAGAACTATATTTCATATTAAGAATAAGCTGCAATGCCATAAAAGGTGCTTTAATGCTATTGTAACGTTTCAGCTTAATTGTTTGTGATGGAACAATTAAGTTCGTAAACACAGGGCATGTAGCTCCTACCATTGCCTCTGGGAGGTGCTAGACACAGTTAAAATACCCCAGTCCACAAGTTGAGTACACTTATACAATGTTGTTTTTAATTTAAAAATGAACCAGTGAACCAAAAATTCATGTAGTTTTGAAAATTTGACAGACAAGGTAATGACACATTTTTGACCTAAAAAATTATATATATAAAAAAATGTGTATTAGTAAAATGGATTACTAGTCTTCCACTCTCTGAAACAAGAGACATACAACAATGAGTCTCTCTGTCCATACTTAGGTGAGGTTAAAGAGGAGATCCAATCTCTAGAATTGTATAAAGTCAATGTACTGGGGTATATTTTAATGCAAACCTTTTTTTAAACGCAACATCCAGACCACTTGCAAATGAAAACAAAAGAAAATACCAGTTGAAAGCAGCATTGCTGCAAATAAATACACAATATAAAATACCTTTAATTTATAGTTTCAACATAAAGTACCAGAATACAGCAGCACAAATACTGCTTGGTACAGACTGAGCTTAGTGTTGTAAAATGTAAAAAATATTTTTTTGTAGCTGTCCTCTGTGGTGAAGGATAATAAATCCCTTAAAGTGTCTAAGTCCTGACGGACATTAAAGTCAACACAAAACAAAACAAGAGAAATGGCAGATTCAAATTATGTCAAAAAAAATTCCGGCAAGTCCATTTAGGTAAATATTCTGAAGTACTTTCACATACAGTAAATGCCAGGCTAAGTATTATCATATAAGCCCAAAAAAGAAATCAGTCATTGCTGCCTACAATTCTGCTTCTTTGATTAAAATATACTCCACTCAGACAAAACTGACATTTGTGAAATGAAATAAAAACTATTTTGTACAAAACATGAAGTAAAAGCCCAGCTGTAAGTACAAGGCACTGCAGACACTGCAAACAGTTGCTTCAAAATGTCCCCTTGTTTGAAACAGAAACATTTCTGCAACCAAGTTTCTACTATCTCTTGACCTCTGGCCTGTCTTTAAGGGCAGTGTTACAGTAGACTAGAGCGATGCCATCGTTACTGGTCAGCTGTCTCTGTGGCTGCTCCGGTGTGTGGCTGCTGGTCATCTGTCTTTTTCCTGCCAGCACAGACATCATTTTGGAGCGGTAGTGATCCCCGGCCAGGAAATACAGAATCGGGTCGATGCAGCTGTTGACGGTGGCCAGAGGCCTGGTGATCTTGTAAGTAAAGTTGACTATGTTGAGAAATTTACAGTTGAGGTTTAACACCCGTGAGGTGTAGTAAAGAGTCCTTGTGACGTGAAAGGGGACGAAGCTCACGGCGAACACCACCAACACCACAATGATGAGTTTGATGGATTTCTGACGTGAGGCGCTGTTCTGCTGCACGGCAGATAACCCACGCGTGGGCCGGCACAGGGTCCGCGCCATCAGACAGTAACACACCACTATGACCATGAAGGGAATGCCAAAGAAGAGCACCATGAGCACAGAGCTGTAGTCCACATATTCATCAAAGTTCCCCTGGCTGGTTGTATCGTGGCACAGAGTGTCATTGTCCCTCCTGGAGGTGGTGACAAAAATAAGTTTTGGCACCAAGCAGATAGTGACCACACACCACACCATGGCACTCACCAGGTGGGCATGACGGGACTTCACTAGAGTCAGCGCCTTGATGGGGTGGCAGATGCCCAAGTACCGGTGCACACTGATGCAGGTGAGGAAGAGAATGCTGCAGTACAGGTTGGCGTAGAAGAGGAAGCGCACTAATTTGCAGGCAGCCACTCCAAATGGCCAGTGGCTGCGGTTAGCATAGTAATAGATAAGTGTGGGCAAGGAGAGGACATACAGGAAGTCAGACAGGGCCAGGTGGAACATGAACACCGTGCTGGTGTTCCACGGACGCATTTTGAGGAACAACCACAGAGCTGTGGCGTTGAGGACAAAGCCGACCACAAACACCAGGCTGTAAGACACGGGGAGCAGGATGTACTTAAACTCCTCGTCGAATCGACAGCTGGAGTTGAAGACGGAGATGAACATGTTGGACTGGTTGTGTGTGTGAGGACTTTGAAATACTCCGTCCATGATGGTGTGACTTCACAGTCCTGAAGTCCAAATCTACATGGAAATAAAATGAAAAAGAAATAGTAATAGTAATGCCAAAACAGGGAACTGTTGAACTTGACAGAGTCGACAACTATGATCCTCTACTGTGTGGACTGATATGCAAGAGGTTTTCCTTAAATAAAAACAAGGTGTCTTTTAACTTTAAAGCTTAAAACTCAAACTCAAACGTTTTTGTCATCAGAATTGTTTCACACACACAAAACTTTTTTACATACTTTTCCTAAGTTAAACAAATTTCTAAAAAAAATGTAAAAAGGTAATTATTTATTTATATATTCTATTCTGATAAAACACAATACTTGATGCACTTTCTATCCAGACATGTCAAATATCAGTGAATGTCAATGCAAGTCAATTAACGAAAAGAAGCTAAACTGGTAAATTATGGATAGCTTTAAAAAAAATCATTAATTATATAACATTCCACAACCAGCACTCATTATGACGAAGAGGAGAAAAGCACAAGAACTCATGTATTACATGCTCCCCTATTTGCACCTGTTGTCTGTCAACAGCGCTGCTTGTAGAGGACTTTTTCACAGTTTACCACATACGTGCAGTCAGTCCTTCAACATCTGCTCGTGCTCAACCACTGAAAAACTGACGTGTGTGTCCATGGTCCACACTGTACTCACTCACCCACTCACCCAAACAGGAGGTTGAAAACACCACCACCTCTACTACTACTCACCAACAGCCATGTACAGAGGACATCCGACTGAGACGATCGGTTTCACTTTTCACCCGGGACCAGGCCGGTCGATGATCTGTCTCTGCTGCTGCCTCTCTTTGACTCCCCCTCTAGACTCTCTCTAACCCTAACCCTCCCTCTCTCTCTCTCTCTCTCTCTTTTCCTCTCTCACTCCACTCTCTTCCTCTCTTGTTGGAAGTCATGTTGGAGTAATTAACTGTCACAAGTGGGCGCACAACACGTTACACACACACACACACACACATCTGTCTGAGATTGTAAAAACAGCAGATGCAGAGCTACTGGGAAACTTTCCTCAGAAATTTGCAAGAGTTCTGAGTAACATGGCAACATGGAAGTAACGTCAATTTCAATACAAACTTTATACGATACAATACAATACCGTGGTTCTCAAAGTGAGGTAAACGTTCCCTAGAGGGACGGGGGTTTTTTTAATAATTTATGTTGTTTAGTGTGATTTGCCTTTTTTGTAGGAATTTCAATGTTTAAAATAAGGATCAGTGGAATAAAAAGTTGTTGTTCATCAGATGAATGACAGTTGACCCAACATTAATCTGCTCTATGTTTTACCAGTTTTACAACTTTGATGCACATTACCCTGTGTTGCTAGACAATGACATCGCTGTGTAAATGTTAGTATTTTGTTGTTGTTATTCGCTCTACCTACTTACAGCCAAAAAGTCCTCTAAGGCGACTCCCACCCACCACCACCTCCCAAAAAGACACAGCCACACCCCCTCTTAAACATTTTATATACTCCACTCACTCTCCAAAACCTACATTCTAAAAATACCACGTGTCCGTCTGCTGTACGTGTTGTTGAATCTTCAACATCAGCGTATATTTTCCAACTGCTGTGCTGTGTTTCCTGCAGTAATTCCATCCTGTGGCACTGCTTTCCTCTTCCTATATGATAAGCCACAAACAGCTGCAAGACAAGGCGCTATAAAAATATTCATAGTTTCAACCAATGCACTTGAACTAAAATGTACTGTGGAGACCTCCAGAAACATCTTGTCATTCATTTTCAGTCACATTCTCTTGACATTTTGCTACACTCTGCAGAGCCTTATCTCCTTTCTTCCAACAGGTGTGTCAGAGCATCACTTATTGTAAGTCAGTAAAAGTAAACATAATAAATCTTATGAAATGTTATATTTGCTCAGCTGCACCTTGGTGGCGTAAAACACAACATCTTCACACTGCTGCCGGGACAGAATTGACGACTGTTTGTCTTGTCTTTCTGCGACACCAACTGCTACAAAACAAAAACAAAAAAAAGTCCCTATAAACTGATTTCAACTCTACAAATAGTTACGCAAATGGCTTAAGATGTGTTTAGGTGCAAAGAGCTTTTATCGTAAAGTTAAGTTCTCTTGTCTGATAATGGACCCATACGCGTCTCAGCTGAAATTTAGAAAAGGTAACAATTCGTCCCATTCCTGAAGGTGCCTTTAATGTCAGTTTAATGAGAGGCTGGAAATTATCAACTGAAAGCTAACACAAACAAAAGGTTTTTCTCACGTATGGATTATTATATATTATTATTATTGTTTAAAGTTGTGATTCAGATGTAAAAAAGAAAAAACAGAGAGGGAGAGAAGCCAACGCCGTCCTCATCATGAGATTCATTCAGAGTCGGGGTCTGACTGGTGGCACTGAGCCTCTCTGTTTGTGAACTGTGTGAGTTTCTGTGGTGAGATGTTGGAATGTGAGTGGGCCAACGACAAAGTCTGTTCTCCATCAGGAGGAGAGAGTGCAGCGGAGGGCGGAGGGATTTACAGCATAGAGGGCGGGGGCGGAGGGGGGGTTTGTAATTTGACAAATGTTTAAAGAAAAGTTTAACACTCTGGCAACTGTTCATAATCACTTTCTTGATGAGATGAAATTCTCGCAGCTTCATGATCCAAAGGCACGCCAGCAGAGGGAGGTACTTTAACCTTTGCAGGAATAGAAGGAGAAACCATGCTGTAAACTCCACACCAGGAAGACCTGAAACATAAGAAGTGAGTCGTTCATATTAAAGATATAACCTCAGTGAACTTTAACTCAATTGTTAAAGGTGGCAGGAGGTGGTTTTCATATCTGTGCATTGGTGGTTCAGTGGTAGCATTCTCGCCTACCACACGAGAGGCCTCGGTTCAATTCCTGGCCAGAGGTTTCTACACTCCACATTCTGCATTAGTGGACATGACAACAGCACCAGTCTTCTGACTGAAACTTTCCCAAAGTTCCCAGCAATTCTGTGGGTGATGACATCACAGCAGTCATTCCACACAGGGGTCAGTGACACATACCTGCTGTGTTTGGTCATGCCTTAATAAGTAACTGCCTGCAGTGAGAACTACAACTCAAATACACAGTGAGTGTTAGATCTGAGTTATTTCAGGAACATGTTCACATCAGATGTGAGCTGTTATTTAGTTGATCTGATGAATGAGTCTCCATGGACTTAAGTGCTGGCATTTGTCAGGTTGGTCACACTTTATAGGTCTATTTATAAATGAAAACTAAAGAATATGCAGTCACATCAGCTAACATGAACATGTGTCTCTAAACTGTCTCTCTGAGGTGTTTATACTTCCCGAACTCAACGTCCCTGATGGTGTCGAACCCAAACAAACCTTCAAATTCCAGGTGGTAACACTTAGTATTGTGACAAATTTAGGTGAAAGATGTCATAAATACAAAGGCCATTTCCAGAACTGTTGTTGTGGACGCTCTTTTTATGTTTCAAGTCTCTGCACCTGAAACGGGTTTTAAAGGGATTTGATTGTTGTGCCTGGTTGGACATAAATGTCACTGCTCTTTATCGCTGCATTTTACAGCGATTGCAAATACGATTTGAACACAATTGCAAATGCAAATAAGTGCATCACACAGTCTTCCCAGAGTGCAGATACTGTCAAGGTCAGAAACAGTGCTGTGTAAGCAAAGGAAAATATGGGCAGGAAGTTTGTTGTTTGGAGTTGGCCACCACACAAACTGATAGGATGGAATAATCTGGGTCTCGTTCCCAAAACAGAAGTTGATCCTGACTCATCTGTGGTCCCTGACCTGGGCCGACCACAGCCTTTGATGAAACTTTGCATTTCACATAAAGAGGAGTATCAACCAAACTATACTCAGGGTTGGTGCCAATGTTTTACATTAAAATGCATCATCATATCTATACATTCTATTTCTATAAAACCTGAGCAGGAACTCTGGTTTCATTTATGTTATTTCCTGTTATTTATTGCTATTTCCATGTGTTTGTTTTCAGTGTGTTTGATCAATAGTTAGACGTTCAATTCTGTCATATAGCAGTTCCATTCCTGATTGGTGTTGTGTGTGCAGTGGTGAATGATGGGGGAGAGCCAACCCATAATACTGCCTAGAAAGGGCTCTGATTACATTTTAAAGTTTTAGAAATGATGATTGACCTGTGACAGAGATATTTTTTATCTGTAATAACTATTGTAAAGTATTTATGAGGCATTTGCAATAAATAATTCTCTTAAATCGCTTGTGTTTACTTAGCAACAGAGAGGAGCTGCTTTTTGCACTTGACTGTAGACAGATCAAACATGCACCGCGGACATGGACTTAGATTAAGTGACATGATAGTAGGACAGTGGAAGGAGACGGTAAACGGAGCGCGATGCAGCGGGGCCTTCTAGGAAAGTGTTCAGACACTGCTCCAGTCGATAAGAGCAGCTGTGGATTTTACGCTGGCTGAGTTTGACAGAGGGCTTTTTACAAGCTCACACTCAATAGTAGCTGAATAAAGGAAAGCACACAGGGGAGAGGACGAAGGTGAAAGGTAAACACTAGACATGTGTGACCACCGTAAACTGAAGTATTATATTTTTTTTAACAGACATGTACAAATCATTTATAACATAAATCAATGAGACCTTGCTGCCAAAACAAACAGTTAGGGACAAAAGACAACAAGGTTTTCCTTTCATATCGCACAGCTCTGAGGATCAGTGAAGAATGACGGCAGAATGAATCAGAATCCGACTGTGCAGAGTTCAGACACTTTGCTATTTCAACAAATTAAAATCAGAAGAATTTCTGTTTATCACCACTGTTTTGAAACGTATTTTAAGTTCAATGTTGGTCTTTTCTGAAAGACTTGCATTGATTAGGGCGGTAAACTTTATTTGTTACGGCCTTTACATTTCAGGATATATAGTAATCCTGTAGCTAAGCTGTTCAAAGTGCTGTTTCTCTTCAAGACATTTAATCAGATAAATTCATATTTCAGCTCTTGTTTTAAAACTAAAATGTCCAGAAAGTTTCATTTTTTTCATGTGCCATTTTCCCCTGGCCTTCACTGGGACACAGAGAAAGACTTTTACTGTGCTTATAGTAAAATGTGGTCCCAAAACAGGTGCAGTCATTTACTCGTTTGTCTTCTTTTTTTTTTTTCTTCGCCCACAAAGTCGCTCAAAGTCAGAAACCATCAGAGACACTGATTTAGTGTCAAAACAATGTTGGATTCTAAATTTTCATTTTCAGATTTTCACTTTCAGTGTAAGATATCCAACAAAACAAAGACACAAGGAATGTCTGCCTTATCAAAGACACAGTACAGTCTTCATCCATTCAGTACAGCATGAATGGGTGAGTAAATGAAAAGATGGACAGAGGAGAGGACGGGTGTGGGAAATGTCCAGCTGCTGCGATTGACGTCTGTCTTCTTTTTAACATCTCAGTTTTGTCTGTTCTTCTAGTCCAAAGTGAAAAGTACTAACACAGTTTGTGCTTTGCTTCAGTTCCAGTTCCTGGGCAGATTCTCAAGGATCCTGCGTCTGTGTGATGGGTTCGTCACACCTGCAGCCCGCAGATCCTCCTCTGTGATGCCGCTGTGGAGCAGACCAACAGAAAGAAAATGAAAAAACTAAAACTGCTTATTGAAATAGTTCATCTTTGTACCCTGAATTGGTTTGTATCCTCATTCTAATCACTTGGTCTGTAAGAGACAACACACTTTGCTTAAATGGAGGTCAATCTAGTCCTTACTCTCCAGAAAGCTTCATTTGAAGCCTAAGAAAAAAAACGACGTCTTTGCGCTTGACTTCATCTGATTTCAGCTCTGTCTCTAAAGGGTTTCTGAACTTTCTGAACTTTTGCCACTCAACATTCTTCACTTTCTTTTGTCTAACCTGTATGAAATGGAATTCACACTCTATCTTTTATCTTATACAGCTCTTCTTGCTGTTCCTTTCATGCACATGTGAACAGCACCCCCACGATTCCCAGAGGTACTGCTCCGACTGGTTGGACTGCGCATTTACAAGCTCTCCAAAAAATGTATCAGACTACACACAAAATGAGTACAGACGTGCAGACCTAGCACATCTCAGTCCATGAAGTAAAGAGTAGTTGTGTACAACTTTTTGTACAGTAAAAGTGCAGTAGTGTGCGACCTTACAGCACTCAGAGTCCTTTTACCTGAAGTAATCCAGATCATCCCAGCCGTTGAGACTGAGTCCCAGAGTGTATTTCTGAAGACCCAGTGTGGTGAGAAGCTCCCGTACTGTCTCTGGTGCACCCTGGAGGACAGACACCTGCTTCAAGATTCAACAGACAAAACAGTTACAGAAAACCAGAGGATTTGTTGTTAAAAAAAAAGAAAAAAGAACAGCGTCTTACCTTTTTCTCCCAGCTGTAGCCTCGATCAGAGTACAGTGAAGGGCCATTTCTATAACCTGTCCTCTGGTTGATCATGGCTGGTACTCTGTGTTCTGAGGGGAAGAAGTCAACCTCGCTCAAGGATTTGGCGATTTGCAGAGCAGTTAGAGAGTTGTCTCCTGTAGGTGCGGGGGGGCGCTGATCCACCACCCAGGGAACAGAGGTGTGAATGTGTGGTATGTGTTTGGGGGTGTATGGGAATACAGACGGAGCCTTGGTCGCAGGGATAATTTTGTTTGTTCTCTCTGGGACGTGCTGATGTTGATCTCTTCTGTTTTTCTCTCGAATGACTGACGACTGATTCATATACAAATTCCTCAGGTTCTTCTCAGGCAGCACTGAGTCCTGAACAGTATTTTTACTGGTGTAATTGTCTCTGGGTTGTGAAATCTGCTCCTGGTACTGTGAGATGACTTTACTAGTGGGTGGAGATATTGGAGACGGGTCTTTGGCAGGAAAGAGTTGATAGGAGGAGTTGGTTTGGGGTGTTTGCAGGTCGTTCTTGGGTTTGTACTGAAGGGGGACGGCGGGAATCTCAATCTCTGTAAAGTCTGATCTTCGACAGGGTCCCCTGTCAAAGCCCTGACGTCCTGAGATTTTTGGGAGCTGCAAGGCCTCGTTGCCAGACCAGATGACCTGAGGGTCCCTCTGCTGGAGCGCCTCCTCCACCCTGCGTGGCACTGACACGCCTTCAAAGAGGAAGTAGGCGGGATTGGTGTAGTTGCTCGGAGTCAGAGTTGGTGGGTGTGGAGAGGATCTGTGATGAATATACAAGTCGTAAATTTTAACAGACAAAACTGACACCGTATGACCTAATTGGAAGTCATTTAAAATAAGGTTCCTGACACAGCCTGACTTAAGTGACAACACAGCATGCTAAAGTGTTGAAGATGTGATTGGCTAAAGCTAAATTAAAATAAAATCAAAATAGAAAGTGTAATGTAAAATACCTACTTAAAATAAAAATCAGCTGAATTAAATTAAATTAAAAATGGCTGACTCAGCCTGTCTGGAGCATGTATATAATCATGCAGTTGAAATAAAAAAATATGTATGTAAGCTTACCTTATTCCTCTATACCCTAAAATTTCTTGTGAAATGAAAAGGCACTGTGAAACAGGAAGTAATCCTCACCTATTTATTGGAGCCCGTGTAGTCGCAGGAGACATCTGCCCTCTCCCAGGGCGTTTATCATCTTTCTCAAAACACACCAGCTCTGAAACAGTCAAATCATTAAAATAGGAATCAATATTTCAAGCTTGTGTGTTGTTGTTGTTGTTGTTGTTGTTGTTGAACAAGGGCTGTGTCAGATTGCTGTCACACATCAATGTGTTTGGTACGTGTATGTGTGGCCCCTGACCTGGTGACATAATACTCATCTGAGTTGTTTCAGTGTCTCAGGATGCATCTGGTCAGGGTCAGTCATTCAGGAGCCAAAAAGAGGAAGCGGTCGAAAGAAACCAGCAAATGAAAAGCCAAACCAGGGATGGTTGAGGAACCGAATAGAGGAAGCAATGTGAGGCTCACAGGAGAGTCAGAGGAGGCAGTGTCGGCGGAGAAGAGAGTTAAGTGGGAAGTGAAAGTGCAAGCAAGGCAGCAATTATGAAAACAGACACTTCCGGTTGACCCACCATAAACCTTCTCCCGCGTTCCCCTCCTGTCCTTGGGCACGTGGACCCTGACCCTTCCTCTTATGGAGCCCATTTCTTCACCCCGGTGACTCAGAAATGTCTCAAACTGCTCTGGTGCACGAGTGAGTGAGCGGAGAGCTACACAGCATTCACCTATTGTAGAGGATTTTTAAAGCATTATTGATTGGATCTATAAGGCTCGTCACCTTGAAACACAATCAACAAAGAACTCAATGGTGACAGATAGTGTCAGGGGAATTTAATTCAAATAGAGAACAGGCGGTGAGAGACAAAGTGTAGTGTAAAGTTATCTCATTATGTAACAAAAACATGTCAGAAAATCAATTTTTTTTTCTACAAAAACTGAATTCTGGTTTAAAAACTCAACCCGCACAAGTGTGTAGAACTCTGAATGTAGGACAAAATACCATTATTGACATAAATTTACCATGTCCAGAAAAAAAAAGCTTTTTTAATTATTAAATTATTTTTCTGAACTTTAAGTCAAAAAAATGTACAGAAAAATATGAAGGAAGTTCTGTAATTTTCGAGGCCTGCATTTTAGCCTCTGGTGTTTTTTCTACATTTCACCAGAAGAATGTAAATAATGTACTTTACCTTTAAATACACAGGTCACTGTGTTACAGGGCTGGCAATGACTACTTTTTTCTCAGTAGCCAGAATTCCATTAGGAAAAAAGATTGGGGAATACTAACGTTCTAGTTTAAAGCCCTTTGTTCTATTAGTCTGTTTTGTGGTTAAGGTCAAATCAACAAAGTCACCATTCATTAGAGGACTATTTAAAGGACCAACCGTATGACTCAAAGCCATCACATGACTTGACAGACAGCAGCAGGTATTGTTCCTGCAGGTACTCCATGTCAGACTGGACTGGAAGGAGCTACGACACAAATGTCCAGAGTAAAGACACAACAGTTACTTTGAATGAAAAAGATACATTTCCATGATAGACCAGCCGACTGTGAACCTTAGGCAGTTGTTTGAAGGACCAGCCCAGTTTGAGAAAACCAGGAACGTCGCAGCCCTGGGAGTCATTCTCACTTGATCGTCGTGTCTCTGCAGTGAAAGATGAGACTCAAAGGTTGCTTTTATTTATGATTTTTAATTGTCTTGAATGTAAAATCATACCTTCAAGGCAGGTTGAATAGAACTCGATGAAGAACTTTGCTTTACTTGACGTTTTCACAATGGCCTCGATGCCTTCCAGCTCAATCCAGGCCCTCTCTTTGCTTGGATTTGAATCTGTGAGAAAAAAAAAAAATTGTAATAATACTGTTCTCTCCTCTCAGTCATGTTTGTGTCCAGTGGACCTCGATGATGTCAGCACCTGGTTTGAAGCAGGATGTTGATGTCACTCCCACTTGGAAGGTGGCAAAAACAGGTGAGTGATCACTGGTAAAGATGTCATCAGTGCATCCTGGTAACAGACAGAAAGCATCACTTTAACCCACAACAACAACAACAACAACACTGTGCTGTGTTCAGCTTTAGACCTGAGTCACGTTAACGACACAAAAGATCCTGTCACACTTTAAGAGCTGTTCTCCAGTCCATGATCAGTCAGGGCTCTTCCTGGCAGTTCAGATACTGGTTTCTTTTCCATATAGTTCCAGTATAATATAACACACTTCACCTTCACAGTTTTTAATTATAAGATAAACAGAGGACATTAAATAAAGTGTCATGTTAAAATGTAATCCTTAAGAAACTCAGGGGAAAGAAACCATGAAGCAAAGATTCATCAGTGGTTCTGAGATTTGAAACCAGCTTGAGAAACATACAAAAGCAAAGGTGTTAAATCATTTTCTGAAATGATTTGTCCAGGTTTGACTTGATTTCTGCCTCACTGTAAACCACGTCTCACCGTATGACGTGCATCTCATGTGCGTTTCAGGATAGGACTTCCACAGGATCCTGTCACACCAGGAGGGAACGTTGACCCGCACCTAAACAAAGAGATTCAGCTGTAAATCAACATGTCTATTTATTTATTTTTATTTTTTTACAATATCTTTAAGTCTAAAGTTGAACATGACAAATGTAAATCTGGAGACACATTCATTCCTGAGAAGCTTTGCATTCCTTTTCTTTGCACTAGGATTATTCTTAGCATTGTATTTATAGTACGTGTGACAGCTGCTGTCGAAGTCACCTGTCCCTACAAACAGGCAACTCAAACAGCCAGATAGATTTTTTTTTAAAAATTAGTCCTGTTCTTCATGTTTCATGTTTCTGGAGAATTGAATTGATGGAAGGACTTTGTAGAGTAGCTCAGTGCAGTACGACAGCACCATGGGGAGAAGTGCTAATGTATAAAAATGCCATAGAAATGATGGCTATTGAAGGAGCTCGGCCTGTATTTTAGTTGGTTCGTCACAGGAGGGTGTGTTCTGGCAGTTATTACAGGGACTTCTTTCTTTGTAAACTCAACCCACCCCTGACGTCTTGTACTTCTGCCAAAGATAACAGTCTCTGGAGCCACGCTCGTATCGATACGTGGGTGGAAAGGTGATCTTTTCCTCCTCTACAACATGACGGACGGAAAGAATACGTCACATGGATTGTGCTGATAAGTCATAAGTGTGTTTTTTTTTTTTAAATATGAAAATGAAAGCCTACTAAAGTTGAGGAAGGTCTTCCTCTTGTGTCTCTCTCGGGTCAGCTGATCTGCACACATGAGCTGATCAAACTCCCTCTTGGACACATGTTTTAGGATGTCCTGAGATCAGAGAAACAAATGAGTGAACATCAGTGATTTGAATTCAGGTTTAATTCTAGGTTTATAGGTCTGGACTCGGGCCCACTGACCTGTACATCCAGGTCCAGTCTGTAGTTGAGGTCTCCACACCAGAACAGATGTGTGAAGCGCAGGCTGATGTCAAACGCACCGAGATGTTTGTCGCCTAAAGAGAGCAGTCGAAGGATGTCCACAAAGTTCTGGTTCCTCCTACTCATCACATACACAGAAGGTGATACACATATGTATAAATGAGGGATTCCAATAAATAACATAGTATGTGTACATATGCAGTACATGCAGTGTAGTGTAAATACTGTGGATTTAAAGCACCTCAGGACTTTCTCACTTCCAGAGGTCAGGTGACAATTGACGAAGCCAAAAGACGTTCCATTAAAGAGGAAGGAGACGCCAATGGCGCCCTTGTTCCCTGAAATAATAATCATTATAATTATGATTATAATTATATTATTATAATTACAATTACGAGTCCAATTAAAGTACACTCTACCTAACGTGTTTCCCAAGCCAGTCTTCACACTGGCTGTGTTCACATGACTGACGCGACTCTCGTGCTCTGAACTCACAAACACAGCCAGCCTCATGTTCCAGAGGGACTGCACTGCCACCTGCAGGACAATTACTTGCATTACAGGACATGCCAAAAACACGGGCTTGGCTAATTTAGAAGCATTCCCGTCTTTTAAATATAAGTAGGTAGACTTTCTTAGTCTTGCGCTATATATATATATATATATATATATATATATATATATATATATATATATATATATATATATATATATATATATATGAAGAAAAAATTATTGGCTCTACACAAGAACAGGAAAAACTGAATTTTTGCTGAACCACTACACTGAAGGAAAGTTTTTTTTAATTTTGCAATAATTGTTTTTTGTATATTGTGAAACAATTCAACTCTGTCTGTAATGATGTAAATTAATTCCATGTTTTTAATGAGGAAATAATAAGAAAATATTTGTTATAGAATAAAATAAAATTTAAAAATATGTCCTCAAGACTTATTTATAATAGTTTTTACATGGGGGGTTTTAATTTTATAAATAGTGCAGTTAGCTGCATAAAAGAATCTTGTAAAATGGTTCTCCAAAGAAAGAAACATAAAAAAAAATGGAAAAGCTGAGTTACTTGTTTAAAGTCTATGTGTGTATAGCTGCGCAGGGTTTCTCTGATATTTTCCGTCCACTCCTTCTCGCCCTGAGGGTTTTCTTGAGTCCCAAAGGCATAGATGTCATGTGGAAGGAGGGAGACTGACTCATCAGGGGTGTTTCCCAGCCCACAGCAGGTCACCCAGGTCTGCAGGCTGCGTGGAGGAGGGGAGCCACCTGTTTACACAACACAGTTTCTACTGCAGCACACGACCTAATCATGCATAACACGGACTGTCATCACCACGTGCACTGTTACCCATGTTCCAGGTGCCAACAAACACGGAGAGCATGTCGGGTTCCCTCAGCTGAGAGTGGTGACCTCTCATCATCAGGAGGAGTTGGCAGAAAGAGTCGCATTTCTGAAAGAAAGGACTGTGAGTCAGTGAACCGTGGAGGAGGAAGCTGTCGAGGCCAGCCAGACGTTAAAACATATTATGTATTGATTTACCCGTGCGCTTTCAAACGTCATCTCCCGCGGGGTGTTGTGGTGACTGTCCACCACAATGCGTACCTTGGCCGGACTGCTCTGAAACTTGACAACCTGGAGGACTGGACATACACGCACGCCCAGCGAAAGATGATTACATGGTGCATTTCCAGAACAATAAATGTTACTTGCTGTTGAAACATGTTCTTACTTCTGTCGTGTGAAACCTTTTCCTTCCCAAAGGGACCGGTATTTTTGTCAAAAATGAGCGTCCCTGTGTTTACATCTACAGAAACATTCTGTCTGCCGTACCTCACCATCTTCACCTGGGGACATATAGAGTCAAACCTGGTTGTTGTTTTTTAAATTCCAGTTGAATTAGTCACTTGTATTATTGGAGTGTAACAGCAAAAAGAGCAGATTTTTAGAAGTATTTTTCTCTTCTGTTCTACCTGAAATGTGTGGACTGGTACTTGTCTGGCATCTGTCCTCTTTACAGCATGTTTGTTTGTGACTGTTGGCTCAGGTGGAGCTGCAGCACTGGGCTGAGCTGCCAGGTTGTGATTGGTCACTGCATCCTGTAGAGCTTTCAACACCTTTGTAGAAAAACAGAAAACAATAAATGTTAGGATAGTTTTCCATCGACTATCGGTCAAACAAATGTTAACGCAGAGCAGAGTGTTGTATTTGAAATAAATAAATAAATAAAAAACCAAACCTTCTTCTCAAGGGATGAAAGAAGGCTGACCAGTGCTGTAATCTTACACAACAGAGTGTCCATCTCCACATCTGGACCCTTGTTCAAGAAAAGTAAATGTTGATTAGAATTCTGAGCATATAATATTTTAACAAAACTTCCTTAAGTTCATTCGCAGCAGCTCATCTGATGTGATTTTGTTCTTATGTTTTCAGTATTAAACTTTAAGCTAATCTTCAACTGACTTCTATGTAGCAGTAGCAGGATAGCTTCTGTAGTTAGCATCTTCTCACAAAATGTACAAAATTATGCATATAACAAATCGTGGACTGGAGAGATGTTGTCTATGGGTATTTAGCATTTAGCAAAAGCTAGGATTTATGCACAGCTTGCAAGTGACAGTGTGAGACAAACCGTGTTAGCTTAGCATTTGTATAAATATTGCACATAAAATGGAATTTTATTGTTATATTTTTTTTAACATCCTTCTCTTTTTTATAAAGAGCACAGTTGAGGGTCAAATGTTTTTATCTGTGTCACAGACCACTAGCTGCCAGTGAATATTAATATAGACTGAGCTGTTTCCACCGTTAGCATCTGTTGTCAGAACCCTATGTTGTCTGTTCTTGTTCCTTTACCTGTGCTTTGTTCTGTGTTAAAGAGCAGCTCGGATGATCGAAGACCTTGGCCAAGGTTTCTAAGCTTGACAGAGTCAGGTCGATCTCACTGAAGAGCAGACAAACACAGGACATTTATTTAATCACGTTGCAAAAGACAAATACATTGGCAAAGACATGACCTAGCACTTCCATGGTTGTCTGCCTCTCTGTCCTTCTGTCTCACTCCCTGTGTAATCAGTTCATCACACTCACCTGTGCCTCCTCCCTCCCTCACTTTGTCCTTCTCAGCTCGTTGTTTTTTTGTCATTTTGTCTGGAGCCTCAGTTCTGCCAACTGCGTCTCTGTTTGTTCTCTCTCTGACCATGTCTGCTTCTTGACTTCTGCCTGATCTCTCTGTGATTTCCTTTGGCTGAGTCTGGTTCTAGTGTTCTGTGTCTACTCTCTGCTCAGCCTGCCATCTGTTCTGTGTGTTCCCTGTGTTCTCTGTTCTTAGTTGCCCAGCCCAGTTACAGTTCTGTTTCTGAGTGCTGTGTTTGGGTTCTACATGCACCACCTTGTGACTAGAGAACGATAGAACACTATACTGAAGGCATTTCTGTAACCACTACTATACAAGAGCTAATCAATTCATAAATCAAAATATCAAAATAATGCATTCAAGTATTTACAGCGGAGTAGACAACATTTGAAGACGACTGTTTACCTGTTCAGACCCTGGCATGCAGTACCCAAAGTACGCTTGAGGTGGCACAGATTTGTGGCTCCTTTATGTACGTTCTCAATGTCCAGAGGCAGCTCATTGAAGAGGTAGTCATTGAGCAGACTCATCACGTCACCACCATGACTGTGAGAAGGACACAACATGGGAGACAGTCTTTCTTAAAAATCAGACACTACCAAGACCAGCAGTTTTTTTTTTCATCACATATAGATTTGGAGAAGACAGTAACAGAAATATCAGACGATGTCAACCAGCAGATTACAGCATATGAGTCGGGCAAATGCAGAATCAATGGTGACTTCACAAAGAACAACTGTTGAAGCTTTATCTTCCTGGAGATTCATACCTGAACTCCTGTAATTTATCAACCAGAGGTGCAGGAGCTCCTGGTTTAGCTGCTGGTCCTGATGAAAGCGCTGTGTTGATAGAGGGTGAGACCACAGGAGGCTTCTCATCATCTGTGCACACATGAAAACGTACATTCAGCATCAGTGAAGGTTTTCTACAATTATTATATCAAAAATGACAAAAATCTTCCAATTAAACAAAGTACAAGGAGCATGTATACGTGGCACTAGCCTCAGTACATGTACATATTTGGTGAACATTTTCAGCGATCACAGACAGGTGGCGTACCTGAGCTCTCATCTCCCGGCTCTACATCTCGAGGAACAGGGTAGAGCAGAGGGGTGACCAGGCCTTTGTGTGGATCCTGGTACCCCAACACCAAGTCATCCAGAGTCCGGAAACAGTTCACCTGCACACCCTGTGTTGTCTGTGTAAAAGTAAAGTAAAAAGTAAGAAAAAAACAAGTTAGACAGTATATGTGTGGACAGATTGACTGGTGTTGTGTCTAAAACTGGACAGTACATTAAAAAGAAGAAAAGAAATGTTCTTAAAAAGTAAGATCAGTCCAATCGTTGCTGAACTTTTTGGCTGGGCCTCATTTTTGTTAATAAGACAATTGTCAAAATTCCCCCAAGGGGACGCACCCCCCATTTTGGAAACTACCGTCCAGCTCAGTACTGACATACTTGGTCTGGTACTGTTAAACATTTTGGGTTTTTTTTTTTTTAAACCAAGTATTAATTTTTATGAATTCTGCTAAGCTACATCTAGAGAAGTACTTAATATAGTACACTTTTAACTAAAGTACAGAAAAAGATGAAAAGAAGAACTTTCCATTTGCTGCTTGAATAAAGAAGTGCTAATTTGCATGACTAAAAAAAGTTACATACAGATGCCTGGCTCTGATAAGAAAGAAGCCCCAGGAGGAATTTAAATCTGTGGCCTGCACACGACAGAAGAGGCGACATCACTGACAGCCACTTCCTGAACACACCAGTTGGCCGTCATTGTTCAATGTGGCAGAAGCTAAAACCCTCCAGTTAGCGACGACGTGTCAGTGTTCACATGCAAACAGTCGCACATTACAACGTACACGCCAACCATAATGCTGTAAAAACACAGCTGATTGTTGAGGTTAAAGGAGCACATGGTGTCGCTAAGCTAATGCATCGCAGTACTTGTCATGTACACAAATCTTACATCCAAACATATTGGATCGGTAGCGCGTAGATATATGTGTTACAGGATTGGATGTCACTGTTAAACTGACTTTGTTTAGTCCCTCAGCAGGACACTGATGTCCTCCCTCTATTAGGGTTGACCATGTCAACATATGGCCCTAACTGCAATTTGAAGACCTCTTTTTAATAAAACCGCAGCAGAGTGAGAGTAAAAGGTAAAGACATGTAGTTTCCATTATAGCCTATGGGCAGATAACAACACCTGAGAATATGTGAGTCATATATTTCAGATTCAGACCCATCCACAGTTGTGTGTCTCTTCTCCTCTGGTCTCTCTCTCATATACATACATTCTATATTATTTTATTTCAATGACCTATTTATTCATTCACTTGATAATTGAAATAATAACTATCAGCCATGACATGTCTGAGAAAAGGTTCGTTTGTTATATTTATTTAACAGTCACTAGTCTTCACATCAAGATGCATTGAATGGATCATTTTGTTTGTAAAAAAAAAAAATGAAGAAAACAAATTCCAGCAGTTTAGACATGACCAGGGAATGGCGTTAAAAGCACCCCCTGCTGGGTAGGAAGTGGAGCTAAATTATCTTTGTTTCTAAATTGTTTTTAAAAAGCCCATTTTAGCATTCTTGACATTTAACAACACCTGAATGCTGGGTAAAAAAATATGTTGTAAACGAAAAAGACTCAGGTAAAGTGTCAGCTCTAAACTTCAACATCAAGGACGATGTTTCACACCACGGTACAGGAGGCCTGGGTAGTCTTTTAAGATCAGTAAAAAGGAAATGAAAAGGAACAAAACACAACAACAAAATGGTCCCAGGAATAGCTTCACTCCTGTCCTTGGCAGGAAAGAAAGTAAGTGTGCAACTTGTGTGTTAGTGGAGCAAATCCAGTGGAGGGAAAATACGTCCTGGAGGTTTATACTGATGGCAGTGGAAAAACAACTGAAATAGCAACAGAGTTTAAGGTTTTCATTTGAAAGTTGAGGATTTTTCCAAGTCGGAGGTTTGAAAACAACTGCCAGACAATGGTTATTTAACTCATCGCTGGCTTTAATACACAGACGCTAGAAATAAGAGACCGTATGTTTATTTCCATTTTCTTTTCTCTCACCCACTCCCCGTGTTTCTACTGTCTAATAATTAGGTCATCTGCTGACTAAATGACCTCCTTCTTGACTTTTGAAAAAACAGACCATCACCCCTTTTTAACCGCACCACATCCTACGGACGTCTTGTTGCTCATACAAACACCCCCATACATGTAACGTAACAAATAAGCAGACCGGTTGCTCAATGACCTAGTGTGTGGGTTGAGTAGGAATCTTTGAGATATAAAAACAATTTCTCCTCTGTGCTGCTGAGCTCATGCTGCAAACATGCGGCCACATGGCAGAGATGCCATTCAAACAAACAGGGCTACTTGCAGTTGTAACAGAGGCCGTACTGACAGGAAACACAAACATGTTCCTGTTCTCCTTTACGCCAGCAAAAATAATCCATTGTTTGATCCTGAAACCTATCTGAACAACTGGTTCTCTCTGGTTCAAGACTTTTGTCTTTACTCTTTACTCCCCACTCTTGACTCACCTGCACTGCCAGGAGGCCGTCGGCATCAGGAAGAATACGATAGGTGTGAACGTGACATTGGAACCTTTGAGAGAGAGAGAGGAAGGGGGGAAATCATTTAATACCAAAAACTAAATCTACATGAATCTACTGTATTTATATGAACGATGTCTGACTGTGGTGAAAACACCGTAACTGTCATACAGTGGTGCCAGTTGTTTTACAGTTCATTGACATTGTGGCTGTCATGTCTGTCTGGTTCCGTGTTTTCCTGTGTTCTTGTGGGGTAATCATGGGATCACACTCACCTGTTGTTAATTAGCTTCACTTGTGTCACCTGGTGTTCCCTGTGTATATATACCCCTCTCCCTCACTGTCGGGGTTGGATCATTGTGATTGTGGTGGTGGTGGTGTGTGGTTGGTCATTGTGACTGCGTTGGATCTTCGTGTTGGTGAGTTTCCTACTCTGTGTTTCCTCGTGTTCCTCGAGAGTTCCATGCCTGTTAGTTCTTCGCGTTTTGTTAATTTGGACTTTGTTAATCAACTTCCTTCACCAGAAAGAGTCTCTCCAGTACTGCATTTGGGTCCTGCCTGCTCCCTGCGATGCTCGTACCTGACAGAATGATCCAACACCGACTGGACCCAGCGTACTGGGAGGCTCTCCTGGCAGATTTCGGTGCCACGCAGCGAGAATGGGAGAGTGTGAAGGCACAGTTGAGCGCTCTGCAACCTGACCACGGCTTAGCGTTCACTGCAGCAGCCTCTCCATCTGTGGGACCTGTTTTTCCCACCCTCCCAGCCCCTATGTTGGGACGTCAGGAGCCGTCCCTTAAAGGGGGGGTAGGGG